CCGGGGAGCGAAGCTTGGCTCGACAACGCGGCGGGGGAAGCGACGACGGCAAAACTGGCTGCGGGGACGCTGGCGACCAACAGGGGAGAACGGAGATCGTGGCCGTTGGGGCGCGAGCTGCGTGGCCGAGGACCACGCCTTGCCGGGGAGACGCGCGCGGATTGGCTGGCCGACGAGGAGGATTTTGCAAGTCTCGCCGCAAGGTGTCCGCCACACCCCGGATGCTGCAGCTGCTTGGGGACAATTTGCTGGGCGACAAAGCAATGCCGCGCAGGGGCGCCCTGGTGGCCTGGGCGGCCATCCCTTCGGCCCACTCATTATTGCTGCGCGCCTCGAGTTTCTGGTCCAGGACGACCGACCATGGTCCTACGAGCGCGCGGTCTGTGGCTCGGGTCTTCAAGGGCTGCGGAACGCGGAAAGGGGCGAACACGGCCTTGCTCGACAGCTGCGACGAGGTGGCACTCACCATCACGGGACCCAAGACCGACCAGAAGGGGGAGGGAGCCCATCGGAACCACGACTGGTCGGGAGAGGCCTCGCGCGCCGTGGAGGCGCCGCCCGCGACGCAGGCCGAGCACCCGGAGAGGTTCGCACCCGAGGACGAGGCCACCCAGGGACCCAGCCGAAGACCTCCCGCTGGAACACGAAGGCACCCGTGCGCCGATTGGAGGCAGAAGAATTGCTGGCCCTGGCCGTCTCGCCCCGAGGGGTGGAGGACGGCCTGATCGGGGGCCTCTCCCTGCGGATCGGGGAGGCCACGGCCCTTCACCACTTGGCGCGAGACTTGGAGGCGGTTAAGCGCTTCGGCCGGCGGAGCACGGGCGCCTTCCGCAGACGCAGATGGGAGAGCCACGCGCCGCCAGCGAGGACTCGCTCGCAGCATGGCAAAGGGCCACGCGCTGCCGGCCCCGTCTGCCGCGGAGATGGGGGAGGCCGAGGCCGAGGTAGGCGCGGATGCCGCCCTCAAATCAGGAGGGGGAAAAACACACAGACACAATTAATCGATGATTCCCTGGAAAATACCAGAAAATATCGGAAGTGGGGGAGAGACGACAACTTGGAAATATGGCGAATGTTGGAAATCTTGGGAATCGTGTGTCCACTTGTTTGTGTGTCCCTGGACCCCTTCAGAAAACCCAGGGCGGGCGCCGCTGAAACGCCCGACCTGGTTTCGCTGCGGAGGCGGGGCGGCGGCACCCTTGCGTTGGACCACCCTTGTAGCGCTAGCCCAGGCTGCCCAAGGCCAGGGTTAAGTCGGGCATGCCCCTCCTCTACAAGGGGAAAATTCAAGAGTGCTAAAAGATAGTCTGGGGACGATTTTCCGTGCTCTTTTGATTATGTTTGCGAACTTTAGATTATGTCACATTTTCCTTCCAAAACCCGCTTATGCCTGCCATAGTGAGGCCGCGCCCGCACAGGGGACTGCGAGCCACCTGGAGCTTTTGCTGCCGTGATCCGCTCTCTGCATGCTCGTCGGCTTTCTGGCCAGTCGCCATGGCCGCTGCCAGACACCCCGCATGTCTGGAGAGCGGGTCGGCCAGGGGCGCAGTGGGACCGCGCCCCCGCCGAGCCCGCGCGGGCCTGGCCCGGCACCCAGCGAGCAGCGCTCAGGCAAGAGCGGCCCGACCCGCGTCGTCTTCCACACCGACGCAGAGGGCACGAGGGCTCACGCGGATCAGGCGCGCCGCGGCCTGAGGGGCCGCCGGCGCACACCGGTCAGCCGCAAGCTTTGCTCGATCTGCTACGACGGCCGCAGCTCGCAACTCGGGAAGCGACCGCGGGCCCGCGCTCGCGCGGCCGAGTGCGCGTGTTGCCGGCGAGACGGGGCCGTGGATCCTAACACTGCGCAGCACCATTCTTCTAATTTGCTCTCGCCCGCGCCGCCGGCGGGCCCCGGGCGCTGCCTCCCGTCGCCCGATGGTCTGGCTTGCGAGGGCCTTCTGTTGAGCGCGGGTGTCGTCTCTGTCCAGCCGGTCGCCGCGCGGCCCTGGGCCTGCTGGCAGGCACCTGCCCCTTCCGAGCTCACGCCGCGGACGGCGCTTGGCGAGGGACCGCGTCTCTCGTGGCGCCGCGGCCAGCCAGGCCTCCTTCCTTTTAAGCGCATCGGACCCGCCCTTCTTACTTCTCAGGCGCCAGACGCCCCCCCCAACCCTCTCGGCGTGGAGTCGAAAGAGGGGGTGAGCCGAGCCTGGAGATGGGGGCCCCCTCCCGGCGCGGCGAGAGGGGCAGTTGCCCCTCGCTGCGCCCAGAGTGCGGGCCACTGCCTTTCCCCTTCTGCCTGGTTGCCTGGCCCCCATCGGCGCGGGGCCCGTCCGTGCCCCGCTCGCCCGCCGGCGGCCTGCCTGCCTCAGGTGCGGGCCCGCTCCCCAAAATTGGCCGAGGGGTCGCCCGGGCGCGGGCCGCTCCGCCTCCTATCGCCCCTCGGTGGTGAAGTCCTTGTGGGGCGGCTGTAGCCTGGCGCGCCGAGAACGCCGCCCGGCGCTGCTGGTCTCACTCCATGGCGAGGAGGCCGCCCGGGATCTACAGACCTGGGCGCCTGGTGGGATTGGGCGGGCGGGGCCACCTGCCCACCCTGCGGAGCGCGTGGCCGCGTTGCCATGAATACCATCGTCCTCCTCCGTCCTCGTCCTGCCTCTCCCCATTCCTCCCTCTCTGCTCTCAGCACGCAGGCGCTCACATAAGTTCTTCTTCAGTCTCTGCATCCGAAACCACAGGTGGAAGCTGGAAGCACTGGGCTGGCCATGCTGGCCTGGCAGCCCTGGGAGGGTCGAGCGCGGTGCCCACCGGCCCCCGCGGCCACTTCTCCGTGTCCGAGGCCCACGGGGCGGCCTGGGGGCCGCTCCGCGGGCCAGGAGGACCGCCCGGGAGCTGCAGATCCTGGGCGTCTGCAGGGACCGGCCGAGCGAGACCACCTGCCCAGTCTGCGGAGAGCGTGGCCGCGTTGCCATAAACTCCGTACTCCTCCGCTCTCCTGTCAGCTCTCCCCGTCCTCCTCCTCTGTTTTCAGTGCGCACGCGCTCGCGTAACTCCAACGCTGGTTCCCCCCTTGGCCCGAATGTGGGCCTCACGAGCCGAAATCGAAGGCAAACACCCAGATTGGGAAACATCATCATCGTCATCGCAATCACCATCATCATCATCATCATCATCATCAGCATCATCATCATCATCATCATCATCATCATCATCATCATCATCATCATCATCATCATCATCATCATCATCGTCATCATCATTATCATCATCATCATCAGCAGCAGCAGCAGCATCAGCAGCATCAGCATCAGCATCAGCATCATCAACAAGATACTCATCCTAATAATCTGCAGCAGCATCATCAGCATCAGCAGCAGCATCATACCGTCATCGTCGTCAACAACATCATCATCATCAGCAGCAGCATCATCATCGTCATCACCATCATCAGCATCACCACCATCATCATCTACACCTGCATCATCATCATCATCGTCGTCGTCATCACCGTCATCGTCATCCTCATCCTCACAAAAATCACCCTCAAACACCACAATCATTATCATAATCTTCACCGTCGTCCGCATTATCCCTACTGTGGCCATCGCCACCGTCAACAACGACACCGTCATGACGGGTGCGCAGAAATGCGGCGGCACCGCCATGCGAACCCTGCCAGTGTGGCCTTTGGTGGAGCTCCCCATGGGGCTACGATCCTTGCGAGGGGTGCGCCAAAATACGGCGGCGCCAGGTGGACCCTGCTACTGTGGCCTTCTGTGGAGCTCCATGTGGGGCCACGACCTGTGTGAGGGATGCGCCAAAATGGGGCGGTGCCGCCATGTGGACCCCGCCACTGGGGCCTTCGGCTGATCTCTCTCTATATGGGGTCACGAACCACGAACCGTGTGAGGGGTGCGCCAAACATGAGCCGGCGCCGCCAAGTGGACTTTGCCATTGGGGCCTTCGGTGGCCGCCATGTGGATCCTGCTACTGGGAACTTCGGTGGAGCTCCCCACGGAGCTCCGAACCGTGCGAAGGGTGCGCCAAAATGGGGCGATGCCGTCATGTGGACCCTGCTGCTGGAGCCTCCGGTGGAGCTCCCTGCCGGGCCAAGAAGCGTTGCAGTCGGTGTGCCGAAACACAGAGACATGCGGAGGGCAGAGGCAGGGATGGGCTCGGAGGAGGGAGGAGGGGGAGGGGGCAGCGGGAGGAGGGAGGGAGGAGGAGGGGAGGGGGGGGGGAGGAGGGAGGAGGAGGAGGAGAGGAGGAGAGGAGGAGAGAGGAGGAGGAGGGAGGAGGAGGAGGAGGAGAGGGGAGGAGGAGGGAGGAGGGGAGGGGAGGAGGGGAGGGGGAAGGGGGGGGAGGAGGAGGAGGAGGAGGGAGGAGGTGGAGGAGGAGGGGGAGGGGAGGGGGAGGGGGAGGGGGCAGCGGGAGGAAGGAGTGCACGCGGGGCGCTGTCTCTTCTAAACAGCGACCCAACCCACATGACGGTTGGGCAAAACACACCCCGTCGGGAACCACGGGGGGGCACCGGGCCCCAGGCCAGCGGCGGCGCTCCGACCCCGGCGCCCCGCGGGGGGGGCCGCGAGGGCCCTCGACGGACCCGTTCCCTGGGACCGTTCTGCCGTTCCCCTCGACTGGCCCGCTCCCCTCTCGACCGGCCCGCGGCCCGCTCCCCTCGCCGCGCCCCGTTCCTCGCGACGAACCCGGCCCCTGGGGCTGGTTGTGTCGTTCCCTTGGCCGGCCCGCTCCCCTCGACGGACCCGGCTCCCTCTCCACGCCCCGCTCCCCTCGACCGCCCCGTTCCCCGAGTCGTTCAGCGATGGCCCCTCGGGGCCCGAGGAGGGGCCCCTCGGGGCCGAGAGCGGCGAGCGGTTCTGTGAGCCGGGGGGAAGTGCGGAGAGGGAAGGGGGAGTCAGGAGGCACAGGACGCGGGGGCGTTGGGTGATCACTGGGCCGCCGGGTGGGGGCGTGCGCGGAGCCTGTGCTGCAGGGGGTTGTGGATGCCGCGGCGCCCGGGGAAG